TATTTATTTTAATGTTCAAGCAAAATATAACTAAATATATCCGATATGAATACCAATAACATCAGTAATATTTGTGAGAAAAGGCGACTAATTCAACTCATCAATCTTCCACACTAATGACCTATTTTCGATTACTTTGTGTTTTTCACTGTAATAATTTATATCTTATATACATTAACCAAACAATTTCATAATTAAGTTTGATTTGTAGTAAAATTTCAAAACTGTACACGTAACATTACTTACGCATGAACATAAGACATACTAGTATATTACTAATCAGTCGGATGTTTTAGATTCAATTCAGGTCTGGGTTACTTAAAAACGGATCCGGAAACCCATTCTGCGAGATTCCTCCTGCCAGATTTAATTAATGATACTTTTAATTCGGCAACTTTATCATCTCCGCGTCATTTCCATGCTTACAATTTGCCAACGATTTTAAAATCTTGAAAATCTGATCTTCTGTGCTACCACTGTTGCCGATCACAATCGTTTTACTGATGTCCAAGTAACTGACCATTTTTGAATTCAATTCCAATTTGATCAACCAAGTATCTTAGCAGTTATATGTTATCGTATCTAGAATATGCAGAAAAAAGCGGGTGGTGGGTGGAAACACGTTTTTATTACTCCAATTACGTGAACAATTAAAGGTGTCGAACTCGATTAATAATCTGACGAGTGATATCGATTTCTTTATCTATATGCATTCGTATCACAGTTCACAATACAACCTTGCGCCCTCTAGTACCAGCGTGTTTTTCATGCAAACTGGTGCAATGAACGCCATTCACGTGCCGACAATGTCACTAAAAATGACTGTTTTCTTTAGTAATTTGCTATAATCAAGAAAACATTGTCTATTTGTTCATACGACATTGCTACGACACCGCTTCGTTGTTAGAGAACGTGACTTATTGCAGAGGTTTTAAGTGCAGAATCTAGCGCCAACATCACGACAACCTAATGATATCATGGACCTACTGATATTAGAGATGTCCTACTGACTAAACCATTGACTCATTCAAACGCTTGAACAATAATAATATTCTGAATACCTAGACATTATCAGTTATTCATGTTGTACTGTGCTATTGTATCAAAATTTGACTTGCATCCCATAATGCATTGCAGCCCTCAGGCTGTTAAAAAAATCTCAACCAGAGCCGAGGTTTAGCCTAGAAATCGTACAAAAATAAGTCGGTCGTAAAATAATTTACATGTACATTATGACTTTTTAGACCATATTATCTATATGACAGCTGAGTTTTATGAGACGAAGTGTTACACTGTTGCAAGAGCCCAAGGTCATGAGTTGCCATAAGCAACGTATCGTATAGCAGACACTGTTGGGATGGTATTTAGTGCGACTGAGATCGAAGTCTGAATATACAATATTTGAACAAGATACACGAAATCTGGATAATTAAGTATCTAGCACAGATATGCTCCTTATTTTGTCGCCACGGCAAGCAACGACGTTCGCCACTTAATGTTTTGCGAGTTCCAGCTCAGTAAGAATTTTAGCCATTGTACACGGAAGATGTTGAAAAAAATACCGTGAATCGCGACGCCCCTCCAATAATACCACATACAGCGAGATTAGCATTCAGTACACACAGTCTTTATGAAATCAAAAGAACTGTAAATATATATGTGGCACAGCTATATTTGCCAATTCTGTACTTGATACATTGAAGGAAATTTAAATAAACTTATAAAGGGATAAATGAAGATACCAGTGGGGAGTAATTATAATAATATAGTCGTCATTTATGTTGCCAAACTACATTGGATTTACATGCAGTAGTGATTATGAGGGTTGTGACAGTGACAATTTGAAAACACGGAGAATGCGAGCAGTATCAATAAAAGTGGAGCTTAGAAATCCCCTTGACATAGGAATACATACATTGGATGCAATTCGATCAACTAGTTTTTCATTTTTTCATATTCTGATACTCTGGCCAAACAATTCCTTAACTTTCATTTTCGCATTATTATCATTATTTTTAACGAACCTATTCCCAAATGTTTAACATCTGATTGGATTGGATAAAGCGGCTACGATGAAATTAGTCAATGCATTTGTGAAATCGAGATTAGACTACTGTAATATTATACTTTATGGATGCCCTCAGTTTTAGCTAGACAAACTCCTATCTGTACAAAATACAGCAGCCAGACTCGTCAATTGTAAATCTGACCACATTACATCTACACTTTATGATTTGCATTGGCTACTCATTCGTAAAGAATACAGTTTAAAGTTTTTAAACGGACTGTAAATATGATGTTTAGTATTTACACTGACTGTGGATATGTTTAGTGTTTAAACGGACTGTGGATATGATGTTTAGTATTTACACTGACTGTGGATATGTTTAGTGTTTACACAGACTGTGGATATGTTTAGTGTTTAAACGGACTGTGGATATGATGTTTAGTGTTTACACAGACTGTGGATATGATGTTTAGTGTTTACACAGACTGTGGATATGTTTAGTGTTTAAACGGACTGTGGATATGATGTTTAATATTTACACGGACTGTGGATATGATGTTTAGTGTTTACACAGACCGTGGATGTGTTTAGTGTTTAAACGGACTGTGGATATGATGTTTAGTGTTTACACAGACTGTGGATATGATGTTTAGTGTTTACACTGACTGTGGATATGATGTTTAGTGTTTACACTGACTGTGGATATGATGTTTAGTGTTTACACGGACTGTGGATATGATGTTTAG